TACATAAAAACACAATAATTGAATCAAGGAATGCTTCATTCTTTGAAGATGTATTTCCATGCAAGTCCAACGAAGGGCCTAACACGTCAAAACGAACATTTGACGTAGCTATGGAAAATACTAGCGAGGGGTCCGAAGAAGAACCCGAACCCAGACGTAGCAAACGTGCTAGAATTGAAAAAAAAATCGGACCGAATATTCTCACATACTTGGTAGAATTTGACTCGGATATTCTAACATGTATGGTAGAAAATGAACCGGATTTTCTAACATGTTTGGTAGAAAATGAACCACGGACTTATACGAAAGCCGTGACGTCTACCGAAGGGCCTATGCGGAAAGAAGCCATCAAAAGTGAGGTGAATTCTATCCTTAAAAATCACACATGGGAATTGGTTGATCTTGCTCCGGGAAATAAACCTTTGGGATCCAAGTGGATTTTTAAACGGAAAATGAAACCTGACGGTTCCATAGATAAGTACAAGGCCAGACTTGTAATCAAAGAATACAAGCAACGTGAGGGCCATGATTACTTTGACACGTATTCTCCTGTGACGAGAATAAATTCCATTAGGATGATACTAGCAATTGCCGCATTGCGGAAATTGGAAGTTCATCAATTGGACGTAAAAACCGCTTTTCTAAATGGCGATATAGACGAAGAAATCTATATGGAACAGCCCGAAGGCTTTCGTGTTCCAGACCAAGAAAGAAAAGTGTGTAAATTAATTAAATCATTGTACGGATTGAAACAAGCCCCTAAACAGTGGCACGAAAAGTTCGATCATGCAATGTTAATTAATGGGTTTAAAATAAACGAAAGTGACAAATGCGTCTATGTGAAGAGCAAGGTAGACGGCTATGTCATTTTATGTTTATACGTGGATGATATATTCATCGTGGGTAGCAATAATCTAATGATTAATTCTACCAAAAGCATGTTAAATTCTAAATTTGACATGAAGGATATGGGGCTGGCCGATTTAATCCTTGGGATTAAAATAATTAGAGGACCTGACGGTCTTACGCTAAGCCAATCCCATTACGTTGATAAAATCCTTACGAAATTTAATAAGGATGATTTTCAAGAGGCAAGGACTCCATTAGATAAAAACGTACAACTTACCAAAAATCGTGGAGAGTGTATTTCTCAAGTAGAATACACTAGGATTATTGGAAGCTTGATGTATCTAATGAGTTGTACCAAGCCTGATATTGCCTTTGTGGTTAGCAAGTTGAGTAGATATACTAGCAACCCCGGTGATGAACACTGGAAGGCAATAGTAAGGGTTTTGAGGTATTTACGTAAAACCCAAAACCTTGGACCGCACTATAGAAGATATCCAGGTGTACTTGAAGGGTATAGCGACGCTAGTTGGATATCCGACATTAAGGACTCAAAGTCCACAAGTGGATATGTTTTCACTTTGGGAGGTGCAGTCGTGTCATGGAAATCCTCAAAACAAACGTTAATAGCTAGATCCACAATGGAGTCTGAGCTAATAGCCTTGGATAAGTGCACTGAAGAGGCTGAATGGCCACGCCATTTTCTCGAGGATATTCCAAGTTGGGAAAAGCTTGTCCCTCCAATATGCATACATTGCGATTGTCAAGCGGCAATTGGAAGGGTATAGAGCAATATGTACAATGGTAAGTCTAGACACGTTCATCGTAGACATAACACCATTAAACAACTCCTCACAACGAGTGTTATCACTGTTGACTACGTGAAGTCAAAGGATAACATAGCGGATCCGCTAACCAAGGCATTGGATAGAGAATTGTTGGAGAAGTTGTCACGAGGAATGGGACTAAAGCTCGTGAATTGAAAAGTTCTATAGTGGATACCCAACCTAGTTGGTCCTAGGTTCAAAAGGGCAACTAAATTATAGAGCGAAGGATGGTCACTGTGGGGGTCCCGGACTCCTACCCACTCCTCGTTAAAACAGTGACTCCCGCACGAGGTTAGCAAAAACGTTTTCTTTAATGATTCTAAAATGTTGATCTACTCGATAACATTAGAAGAGTATGCGGGATACTCGTGAAAATATCACCTATGTGAGAGAGAAGAGGGCCGCTTCAAAGGAGAACTGTATAGGCTCAGTTCTTTAGAAACTCTTGCAGAACCAGGACGGTGACCCATGGCAAAAACGGGCACACCCATGAGAACGGAACAAAGTTGGAAGGTTCTTGTGTAAAGATAAGTCAATGTTTACACGACTGCAGTATAGTTCAAGGACATCGAGTCTACTAGACAGCCAGTAAATAAACGTGTCTTTACAACGGAAGGTTCAAAGGATAAAACCTACCTCTCCGTATGCAAGGATCATCCAGTGAACACAACGTGTCCTCCTATCTTCGTGTCTTTTTAAGTCTCGAAAATCAATTTTCATTCATGTGGGGGATTGTTGGAAAAATGTGTTAAAAATTGCATTAAATGGTCATTTTGGGGCAATTATTTGAGTGGGGTCCACTTCCGATTTGGGTCGGGTCAAAGTGGTTTCGGATTGTCCTTGTTAAGGGTTACAATTCAATATGTGGTACACTCAAAACGGATAACGGGTGAATGAGAAATTGATTCTCGAAGTTCACTCGTTGAAATGGAAAAACTGGGAAAATGATGGGTTTCTAGTGTGTTTTATCCCACACCGGAAAACTTAAGGGATTTTCACCCCCTTATAAAGGGAAGCCTCTTTTAAGGAGTTAAGATTCCTAAAGGTAAAGGCTCTCTCTTACGCGGGGGGGGGGGGGGGGGGGGTGTCGATCAAATCCCGAAACGGAGAAGAAAAACCGCGATTTGTGTGCGCGGGCGACCTGCGGACACCTCTCAAGAGATACGGTTAATTTTTGTTTTCTTCCCGAAACGTTTATTTTTTCCCAGAAGTGCTCCGGACAGAAGGCCTCGACCAGAACACCTCGGTATGGTGTTCTGGTGGCGTCGGGCAGAACCCCTCGAAGGGGTGTTCTGTTGGCTTCGGACAGAACCCCTCGAAGGGGTGTTCTGGACGATTCAAATGCCCAACGGACTGGTCATTGATGTCCAACGTTCAGGTCCATTAACACTACATTTAACACACAACAAATCCTCCTGTAAAAGACTGGCAGGTGGTTTGCAACAAGACACAACACACAATACATTCCTCACATTTTCTTGAGCTAAAAACACTTCCAGCTACTCTGCAAATTCCTTCTGTGTTCATACTTGATTCTCGTTCGCTGGAACTCTTGTTTGTGTGCTGAAACATTAGTTCGTAGTCATCGTATCTATTGTTGCAACAAATACGTTTTAAGGACCGTGGGAGGCAACAAATACGTTTTAAGGACATCGTGTGTAGCACGAGCTTTGACTAATTCTTCTTCATCTCCTTTCTTGTTTTTCTCTAGTCATTTTATTTAATTAATTTATTTTAATTAATTTCCTTTATTTTCCTAAACATATCCAACAATTTTTACACGTAAAGTTACATATTTTTACACGTGGAGTTACATATTTATACACACGAGTTGCATTTGGCCTGACTGGACGTGAGTTACATATTTCTACACATAAAATTACATATTTTACATAGGTTAATATAATAGTTCGATAATATGTTAAAATTACATAGGCAATATTGCTCTCATTTGAAAGATCATGAAAAATAAAAAATGTTGATATAAATTTTATAAAAATCGGATCAAAAATAAAAAGTTATTACCATTTTTTTAAAAAGAGAAAAAATAATACCCAATGGGTGCTCACCATGCACCGGTTGCACGGTATACACACTCTTGAACTAATTAGACTATAATCGGATGATTCGGATCACGTACGTACACTTCAGTCACTTGACTCAAATTTATCTTCCTGAAAAAAAACAATGCATGATGTCACTTACAAGACTTGGAGCGTGGATATTGTGATAAAAGACCTAGGAACAATGCCCGTGAATGTATTGTTTTGAAGCCTCCTGCCAATACCACCAAATAAATTAATTAAAGATCGAGTTGTCCTTAACAAATTTCTAATCAAATTGTTTTCCAATTCCCAAACATTCATATCGACTCACAATAAAAAAATAAAGCTTAAACATAACTCAGAGATATACTACGTTTACTCACATAAGTACATACATAGTACCGGTTAAAATAAAAATTTAGGATGCTTTTAATTGGATTAAAATTTCAAGTGTAGACTAGTTTTGTCTGAACTAGTTTGGTTTGATAGATATCGGTTTTGTATATATCTTGCAACAGTCAAAGTCTGATTCGATCTGATCTGATTCGGTCTGATTTGATCTAATTTAATTATCTAAGTTTGCGATCTGATCTCAAACTGAAATCAATTAAATTGAAAACATGCTTTAACTATACAATTGGGTATTTGGTCTATTGAGATTATTTATTTTATGTCACATCATCCACGTACCATGTGTATTGTTTTCCTATTTGTAAGCATGTAAACATAGGTTCATGCTATGCATGGCCCATGCATTATTTCCTTTTATTATTCACACCACCTATTGTAATATATATATATATATATATATATATATATATATATATATATATATATATATATATATATATATATATATATATATATATATATATATATATATATATATATATATATATATATATGTAGCCCGCATGTAATAGAAGTAAGAAAGCTACGCCATATTTCCTTTACATGAATACTAGCTCTCTCAATACTAGCTCTTATTTTTATCATTAGTTTTATTTACATTTTAACATGGTATCAGAGACAAACCCTGGAAATCAGTATATTGGTTAGTTTTGATTTATTTTTACTCATATCAACGTGACGTCGATGCCGCCTCACACTCGTACCTGGATAATTGATTCTGGAGCAAGTGAGCATATCACTTGTGACAGTACAAATCTTTTCAACATTTCTACTCATTCATCCGAGACGGCAGTGAGAATTCCTAATGGGGAATTAGTTACAGTTTCTGCCGTTGGTAGCCTTTACCTGTCTAATGGGTTCTTTCTTCGTCGTGTTCTTTACGTCCCACAGCTTCAATGTGATCTGCTCTCCGCCAGTCGCCTCACAAGTGACCTAAATTGCACACTCACATTTTTTTCAGATTTCTGTATAATACAGGATTTACCCTCGAGAAGACTGATTGGTAAGGGTGAATTTCATAACGGTCTTTATCATCTATATTTACCTAGAGGTGAAAGAGTAGCAATGGGAGCTACTTTTGATTCTGATTTATGGCATAAGCGTCTGGGTCATGCTTCAAATGGAAAATTGCAACACATTTCATTTCTCAAAGATTTGCAACAAAATAATAGCTTTTGTGATCCATGCTTACGCGCTAAACAAACACGGCTGTCGTTCCCCAAAAGTACAAGTAAGACTACTTGCTGCTTTGAATTAATACATTGTGATATATGGGGAAGTTATAGATGCGATTCTACTTCAGGAGCACGCTATTTTTTATCCATTGTTGATGATTTTTCTAGAGGTGTTTGGGTTTACCTCATGAAAAATAAGTCTGAAGTTTGTCAAAAATTGATACAATTTTGCAACATGATAAAAACTCAATTTGAGAAACGAGTTAAACGGATACGTTCCGATAACGGAATGGAATTTCAAACCAAGATTTTATCTGAATATTATGTCCGGTATGGAATTATTCTGGAAACATCGTGCACTGACACCCCTCAACAAAATGGGGTTGTAGAGCGTAACCACAAACACATATTGGGAGTCGCTAGGGCTCTTCGTTTTCAATCAGGATTGCCTATTGATTTTTGGGGGGAATGCATCCTTACTGCTGTTTATATTATCAATCGGTTACCGTTGCCTGTTATTTTTAACAAAAGCCCCTATGAGATGTTATTTGGGAGGGAACCTTACTATGAACATCTACGCGTTTTTGGGTGTCTAGTATATGCACATGACAATAAACGCAAGGATAAATTTAGAGAAAGGGGGAATCCTTGTATATTTCTTGATTATCCCTATGGTCAGAAGGCTTATAGAGTATTTGATTTGCAAAAACAGAAAATTTTCAGTTCTGGGGATGTCACATTTATTGAAAATGAATTCCCATTTAAAATGATAAATCAAGAAGGACATGATTTCAAAGAAATTATTGACCTTGTATACAAAAAGGTTGTGGGCCATGGCGGTACCACTTCACATGAGGGTCATCGCATCAGACTTAACGTCGAAGACCCTGACGGAATTAACCGCCATGCAGCAGTATATCGACTAGAAGCTCTCCCTTCCGTCAACCTGGAGCCAGATCATTTGGAACAAATCTGCGGCTATCCTCACAGAGAAGGGTACACGCATGGACCCCAGCAATATCCGGCAACTCACCGCCGGCCACATAACTGCTTCAATCCCGTCTGCAGAAAACCAGACCACTTGGGCGCGACTAGCAGCATGAGCAAAAACGGTACAGGAACAGAAGTGGGACCGTCTACTCGTCACCTCTCACCCACCGAGCATAATATCACAGACGGTGAGGACACACGTGCTGAGCCAGTATCTTGTCCACTCTTACCCACCGGACAATTTGCTCCTGACACCTCTTTGGACGCACATGGAAGAGATAATCTGGCTTTTACACCTTCTATGCATCCCACAGTGCTCAATTTTCCGCCGGGTCCCAGTGAGCATATAAATGGTGACAAAAATCTGGAATCACATTTGAGAAGTCACCCACGTGATATGAACAATCAAACTCCAGTCCCTAAGCACCTCAATGAATATGATGTTGACCTACCACCATCTTTGGACCATTCACGGTCAATTGCAAATCAAGCTGACTCAGTAGTATACCCAATATCTAATTTTATCAGTTATGAGAAGTTTTCTAATCGACACAAAGCCTTTCTGACGGCCATCACTTCACATGATGAGACAAAACAATTTTCGCAGGCCATTTTAGCTCCAAAGTGGCGGGAGGCTATGCAACGGGAGATTCGTGCTTTAGAAGAAAATGGTACCTGGACCTTGGTACAGCTACCGCCAGGAAAGAAAGCAGTCGACTCTAAATGGGTTTATAAAATAAAATATAAACCTAACGGCGATGTGGAACGCTACAAGGCAAGATTGGTTGCCAAAGGCTTCACACAAGTCGAAGGAATTGATTTTCATGAGACTTTTGCTTCAGTTGCGAAACTCGTCACAGTACGATGTCTGTTGGCCGTTGCTGCCAAACGAAATTGGGTAGTACATCAATTGGATGTCAATAATGCCTTTCTCCACGGAGTCCTTTCAGAAGATATTTACATGCGTGTTCCCCAAGGATTTAGCAAAGATGGCGACACTCATATTTGTAAATTACAAAAATCGCTCTATGGCCTGCGCCAAGCTTCTCGTAATTGGTACCATAAATATAATTTACCCAATCACTTTTGAAAGTTGGATTTCGTCAATCTCGGGCAGATCATTCCTTGTTCCTTTTTCAACAAGGTGAGAACTGCACATTCGCTCTCATATATGTAGATGATGTCATCCTAGCCGGAAATGATGCATCTCATATCACCAAAATTAAGGGCTACTTGGACGACCAATTTAGTATCAAAGACTTGGGTACGTTAAAATATTTTCTCGGAATCGAGGTCGCTCGTTCACCCGAGGGGTTTGTACTGAGTTAATGCAAATATACTCTTGACATCCTGGAAGAAAGCGGTCTCCTTGTTGGTCGTCCCATTCAATTTCTCATGGAACAGAACTTAAAACTTCGACCTGATGATGATAACCCTCCTATAGATGCCCCTTCATATCGCCGCTTGATCGGTTGCTTATTGTACCTTACTGTGACTCGCCCTAACATTGTCTTCTCGGTTTGTCAGGTTAGTCAATTTCTAAGCCAGCCACGCCAGTCTCATTTCGACACTGCCACACGTGTCCTTCGCTACTTAAAACAGACTCCAGGACAAGGAATTTTCTTATCTTCAGATAATGATTTCTCTTTGAAAGGTTATTGTGATGCTGACCGGGCAGGGTGCTCATACACTCGCCGATCTAGCACGGGATATTTTATCACCCTTGGCAATTCTCCAGTCTCTTGGAGGAAGAAGAAACAGTCTGTTGTTTCACGTTCTTCCGCGGAAGCAGAATATCGTGCCATGGCTGTCACAGTTAGTGAAATTTTATGGTTACGATGGTTACTTCGAGACCTAACTATTACTCAAAATGGTCCTACTTCCCTCTTCTGTGATAATCAAGCAGCTCGACACATTGCACTTTACCCTGTTTTTCATGAACGTACCAAGCACGTAGAAATGAACTGTTATTTCGTTCGTGAACGTGTGGCTAGTGGTGAAATCCAACCATGTTGTATCTCTACAACACATCAAATTGCTGATATTTTCACTAAAGCACTCGGCAGTGATCGTTTCCAATTTCTCAGGAGCAAGTTGGGTGTTCGCAACCTTCACACGCCACCTTGAGGGGGAGTATTGAGATTATTTATTTTATGTCATATCATCCACGTACCATGTGTATTGTTTTCCTATTTGTAAGCATGTAAACATGGGTTCATGCTATGCATGGCCCATGCATTATTTCCTTCTATTATTCACACCACGTATTGTAATATATATATATATATATATATATATATATATATATATATATATATATATATCTGTGTGTGTGTGTGTATGTAGCCCGCATGTAATAGAAGTAAGAAAGCTACGCCATATTTCCTTTACATGAATACTAGCTCTCTCAATACTAGCTCTTATTTTTATCATTAGTTTTATTTACATTTTAACATGGTCATCGGCCAGTGTGAACTATATTACTACGTACTATAATATGTGCATTGTTACATCCTCCGAATTAACCGTTCGACTGATGTTGGAGCTCTCATTCTTTTAAATAGTATGTGCATTGCGCTGCAACTTTCGCGGTAAAATAAGATTTGATAGTTTTTGAAAATTCCGCTTTTATGCAATGTTTTGCATTGTTTATATATTGTGTAAATACATTGTTCGATGCATATAATTTGAACATATTTTCACATTATCTCAAACTATGTATGCACGGGTGAAAGCTAAGCAAGGTCAAACGTACATAAATCTGAGATGATTGTAACTGCCAAACGTGTGGGGTATTTGCCCGGTCAAATTGTTATCGTACAAATCCAAGCTCACCAAGTTTGATAGTTTGCCAAACTCCTCAGGTATCGTACCATAGATTGCATTACCAAAAAGCTCCCTGGGCGGAAAATGATAATAATTACTTAATAACATCTCTCAATTTTATTATGCGACTCCATAATATAAATGCATACCTGTCTTTGATGCACTTGTGCATAAGAGCGTGTATAATGTGAGTGTGTGGTGTGTATGGGCTCCCTATATTAGATGTGTATGCATAGACTTAAACGATACTATTTTAGGTCTCGGTGCCTCCGAGTTTATCTTTTTGATAACAGTTTGTTAGTGTGGTCTCCATGAAATTTATATCATGTCTATCAAATTTCAGTTTAAAATTTAATCGGAAAGTCAATTAAATAAATTATTGAAAATTGCACAGTTTTATATACGGAGTAGTATAAAAAATGCAGTTTTTTTCAATATTTTATTTGACTGAATGCTCGAATAAGTTTTAATCTGAAATTTGGTGGAGATGATCTATAATTGATGGAGAACATGTTTACAACATTTGATTTAAAAAATCGATCTGGAAGAACTTCAAATGAAAGAGGCCTAAAACTTGTAATTTTTAGGTCTACCTTATATATATATGAACATTGTCCTATATGTGTGTGTGTGGACAAGGTGTGGATCAAACAAAAATTACTCTTCACGTGAAAAATGAAAATCGTTAACTTTCCTTCAATGTTGTGCACTATTAGATTTTAGGTTCCTATGCTGCACTATTTTGCATTGTCGGGAAACTTTGACATTTTAACACAATTTCACTGCATTTTTTATTTGGGGTGATTTGACCAAAGTTCAAAAAGTGTAAGAGTTGAGCTTTAAAGTGCATTGACAATGAAAGAAAATAAACGATTTAAAGTTTTCACACTAGTAGTCATTTTTATTCAATCCGGAACCTACGTAGACATATTTTAATTTTGATTTGATGCTATGAAACTAATGAAAGAATATAATTTGAACTCACAAATACTGCAAATGTGCAAGGTTCTGGAGATTTGGAACGAGTGTACCAGAGAGCCCTGAAATTCCCAGATTACTGAAAGTAAACATGTTAATTAATTTATTAAATAAATAATTAAGTAGTATGGGTGTCCCATTCATAAATCCAAAATAAGGTAAGTAGGAGTTGACCGAAAATAAACATGCATTAGTTGGAAGGAAAAATCAAAAAATAAACAAGCACGTACAAACTTACATTTGAATAACATGTTTGTAATCCGGTTCACCTATTACTTGACCACATGTAATACGAAACCAAGTGCAGGGATCGACGAGACTAGTATCCCAATTATGTAGAACATTGCCTGGGTCTTCAAGTGCATTCTTCATAGCATTTAAAGCTTCAACTGTTGTACGTAAAAACAGTCATATATAGATCACTTATAAGCTCGTCGGTTAAATATTAAATACTCCGTATATAGAGCGGTTTTAGATCCTCTTCCAATTTCAGATCTAATGTATATCAAATTAAAATAAGTCAACCTATTTGGAATGAGCTGGAACATTATATATTCTAAATTTCAGCCTATCAAAGCCATTACGTAGACTCTCTCCTGGCACTAGATTTGATAAAAAACCATAGTAGAAATTTGAAGGCATATTTTGACTTTGCACTCTGCTTATTGGTTGATATTGGACTTTGTACCTCATTTTTAAAACTCTTAAACTTTGCACCATATTTTCCCTAAAATGTCTTTGACTTTGCACCTCATTCAGGAATTTTTCTTCACAAAATGTTGTAGATAGGGTGCAAAGTCTAAAAGTTTTGGAAATGGGGTGCAAAGTCCAATAATATCACCCAAAAGATGGGGTGGAAATTCAAAATTCCCCAAATTTGAAATATAAACTAAAACTCTCTATCACCGCAAAAAATGCAATATAAAGATAATAGTTTCATCATACTCCGTATCACTTTTCATGTGGAATACGTACTCTTAGGAAATGATATGTTTAATTTGTTTTTTCCCTTTCGAGAGAAATTATCCAAAATAAGACTAAAAACGTTTGTATATTTTAAAATAGTATTATCATGTTTTTAATCCCAAAATAAGATTGATTACTGACATGTTTTGACACTACCAGACTTTAAACATGACAGTATTTTCCAAACTTGACAGTAATTACTCCTATTTTGGGAATAAAAACATGACAGTCCTATTTTGGAATTTTCAAGCTTTTTTACTCCTATTTCGGGAATTTTCCCTGTGTGGGGGGCATTCATTCGATCACGTCAGTTTTACTAATGAACGATGTGGTTAAATTAAAACTTAAAATTAATGAAAGGAGTTATATTAGGGGTGTGAATTGGATCGAACCTTCTACGTTACCAAGGACTCGGTGCATGTGAAGAAGCGACAACAAGCCGAGTAGGAATAGCCGCAGGCTGCTGCTTTCTCCTTTTAGCATTTTCCCTGATGATGCCGCCGCTGTATGTGATTTTCTTTCTTTCAAATTAAATTCGTAGTAAATGATTTGCACTCACGAGATTACAAGTTATATTGCAGCATTGGTATTTATATACTACCACATCAAACATATCGGAGTACTTCGTATCCAAATAAAGCAATAAAGTTCAATGCCGCCTATATTACTAATACACTTCTCCCGACAAAGATATGACTAGTTATGTTTTTGAATAGAAATAAGATTAGTTATACGAGTAATTAGACAAGAGTCACTATAGTGTATTTATGAATTTAGATGATGAGTCACTCATGACTAGTCACCGACTACATCACGTTCTTGGAAAATTTCAAATTAACTAATTTTTTTGTATTAATTCAGTTATATTCATAGAAAAGGCTTTTATTGTCACCATTTAAATTTTAAATATATTTTATTAATAAAACCACACAAAAAATAAATGAAAAGTATTTAACGGTCAAATACCCCACACATCCGATTGAAAATTGCTGGTCTGGTCTGGTATGGGGTCTGGCCAAAATTCCAGCAAATTTAGTCCACTTATCAGCCTCAGAATCAATCTTTGCATTATATTTTATATAAGGTTGGGTTTTTCATATCAGTCTTTGTATTAAATTTGGTTTTTCATACCTAAAATTTGCATTAAATTTTTTCAGAATTTTGGCCGGAAAGACGAGGGGTGGTGAGGGGATAATGGTCACGGACTAAATGTGAACAATCTGAAAGTAAGAGACTAAATGTGAAAGTGGTATAATAGTGACGAGACTAATTTTTTCTTACTTTAACTTACGTTTGCCATGATAAAGCTTAGGCCCACCATTACAAAATCTGCTGACTTTAATAGTCTGATGACTACCCGTAAATTCCGAAACATAACCTGGGTCATAAATACAATGTTAATACTAATAAATAGAACTATACACACGCGCACACACAAACATATACCCCTTCCGTCTTTAAAAGGATTGCCAAGTTTGACTCGCACGTAAAATAATAAAGTAAAAATTGTGTGGTAGAGATTTGTGCAAAAGAGAGAGAAATAAGAGGAACCACAAATTGATTGATTAAAAGGGAAAGTGGCAATGTTATAAGGGACAGAGGGAGTATATAATTATATACAGGGTTGGGTTCTAATGAGAAGACATATTAACGTGAAAAGTGAAAAGTTACACATTTACCTATTTCTGACGCACTTTTTTGCTAATCTGATGCATTTTTTGTGATGACAGAAAAGTTTCGATTATTTACGGAAATGCCACCGCGTCTAGGATCACTTTTTACGAAAATTGCTGGTCTGGTTTAGTCCGTGACGATTATCCCCTCACCACCCCTCGTCATTCTGGCCAAAATTCCACCAAATTTAGTCCACTTATCAACCTCAGAATCAGTCTTTGCATTAAATTTTATATAAGGTTGAGTTTTTCATATCAATCTTTGCATTGAAT